GTTCTAGGATGTAGTTTAGGGACAGAGTGCTTGGTTGATGTGCACAAAGCCCTGGGTCCCTTCCCTAGTGCTGCAAGAGAGGAGGCTGTGGGGAAGCCAGAACCCTAAGAACAGAGAGGAAGGTTTAGTTTTATTTCAATTAATAGTACTGTGCCTTTAAAAAAATTATATTTAGTTTCAGAGGAAAGCATGACTGTGCTTAGGAACAATAATGTGTTGTCTAAATATTGTATGGTCTTGCCCTCTTGGCTTTGTAACTGGAAGAGTCAGATAATGAGCAGTACTCTGATTTATAACATTGAACTGAACCTTATCTGATGATGGCTCGGCAATACATTAGTCAGGTTTTCTGCCCTGGGTATTGATGACTGTAAGAGGGGCTGGAGTGGGAGCAGAGTCCGTTGATTTCCTAAGAGAACTATGGTCGCTGTTAGACTAACAGCGGTGAGGGCTGATCCATTATGAGTGGACGCAGTGATGCCTGGACAGACATGGCTACACCTTACACTCCATTAACCGATATGGTTTATCTTTTTTGTGTTCGTGGCACTGGGCATGAAATGTAGGACCTTCGTGAGCAGAAAAGCTTCTGTCTGTGCCTGATCTACACTCCACATCCCCAGCACCCTCCCTCCTTTCTTTTTGAAGACAGAGTCTCAAAAAGACTAGCTGTTCTAACCATTCAACTCTAGCTAGTCTAAAACTCTTAATCCTCCTGCCTTAGCTTGTGGCTGGGATGAGCATGTGCCACCACACCTGCTAAGATGATGCTTTTGTTTCCAGACTAGTTGACAGGCAAACAGGAATCATCACATTAGTTCTGCAGACTAGTTGACAGGCACACAGGAGTCATCACATTAATTCTGTTGAGAGAGAAGTGGGAGGGTCCACCAGGATGGCTCAGCTGGTAGGGAGCATTTGCTATAAAGCCTGCGGACCCGAGTTCAGTCCCTAGGACCCACACAGTGGAAGGAGAGAGCCAACTCCAGCAAATTGTCCTTTGACCTCCATGCACATGCCCAATTAATACATAAGTGTAAAATATTTCTTAAGGAAATAGGGATTATTTTTATTAGAGTAATAGCAGAAAGTGTTCAGAGAAAGAAAAACTTGTATTCACATATATTACCATACGTTTAGAAGCTGTGTGAAATGGGTGATATTTAGAAATGCCGTGGTGCGGTCCAGCTAACTACCTAAATCGCCCACCATGTTCCTGTTGTTTCTGCTCTGACCGTGGCTCTGGCTAGCCAGAAGCGCACTGGCCCTGGCATCCACGAGATGTTAATGTGGCTGCTGTCTCTGCTAGTCAGCTCCATAAAGACCACGCCCCAAAGCATGGATCTTGGGCTAACCCCATCACCCTCATGGTTCTCTGCTAAGCCTCAGACAATGCTCACCATGCTCAAGAAGACTCTTAATGCTTAAAGATTGTCCAATGGATTTAATTATTTAAATTATTATTGGGCTCAATACACAAGATGCCCAACCAATTATAACTGTTACCCAAAATCTAACCTTTCGATAGAAATTGCTACCTGGGACTGCTAGAGATCCATGCTTCTTCCTCCATGTTGCTTCCTCTCTTCCTTTCTCTTTCTCCTCCCCCTTCTTTTCCTCCAAACTCCTCACTCTGCCTACCTCTTCTACTGCCCAATCACGGAGCTCCACTGCAAATACAGTGTAGCAGAAAAATATGCTGCTACAGCTGTGTTTGGTGTTTTATACCTTAAATTGCAACACTCAGAGACAGCAAGCAGATCTCTGTGAGTCTACATAGCCAGTTCCAGGCCAGCCAGGGCTACATCGTGCGAGTGTCTCAGGGGTGAGGGGGCAGTGGGAGAAGAAACATTTAGGTGGAGTAAGAATGGTGCATACCTATGATCCCAACATTTAGGAGGCAGAGGTGGTCAAATCATACTCAAGGTCAGCCTGGACTATGTGGTCCAGGCTATTTCAGTCTGAGTAGCAAATCTCTGTCCTAAAAAACAGGCAAACAGCTGGGTGGTGTTGGTACACATCTTTAAGGGCAGAGGTGGTAGATCTCTGAGTTTGAGGCCAGCCTGGCCTACAGAGCAAGTTCCAGGATAGCCAGGGCTACACAGAGAAACCCTGTCTCAAAAGACAACAGAAAACAAAAGAAACAAAATCTAAAACCCCAAAACACAGAGTCAGACTTTGTGGCAAAAGCCTGCATTTCCAGCTGCCAGGAGGCAGAGGAAGAGGAAGTTCGTTCAGGGTCAAAAAAATGGCTCAGTGGCTAGAGGGGCTTGCTGTCAGAATCCTGTTCAATGCTTGGAGCTCACATGGTGGAATGAGATTGCTGACTCCTGTATTCGTGGAGATTCTCCTCTGACTTCATACTCACATACTCCATGACACATATACTTGGTGGGGTGGGGGTGTAGGCGTGCGCGCGCGCGCACACACACACACACACACACACACAAATAATTTAAAGGTTACTTTAAATCTAGTGTGATGACTCACGCCTTTAATTCCAGCACTTGAGAGGCAGAGACAGGTAGATCTCTGAGTTTTTGGCCAGCCAGGGTTACATAGATACTGTCACAAAAAATAAAAAACCGAAAGGCCATTGTTAAGACATTTTTGTTTATCTGTATGGCTGTTTTGCATACATATATGTTTGTATATCTTGTATGTGCCTAGTGCCTGAGTAGGCCAGAAGAGGGAGTAGTATCTTCTGGAACTGTAGTTATAGATGGTTGTGAGCTGCCATGTGGGTGCTGGGAATTGACTCCTGGTCCTCTGGAAGAGCAGCCAGTGCTCTTCCGTACTGAACCATCTCCATCCTTTCAGCTACATATTGAGTTAAAAGCTGGCCCATGCTGGATAAAACCTTCTCTCAAAAGCAACAAAACAAAAGCAAGGGCAGCCAGATGCCGAGATGAGGTAGGAGAGAGGTGAGGTAGGAGAGAGATGAGGTAGAATTAGTGCTTTCTCCACTGACTGTGCGCTCTGCCGCTGATGGTAGTCGGCTTGGTTGTGAAGGGCTTTTTGTTACCATTCATTATTAATGAAGTTCGGAAATGTTGCTGGGTTTTACATTACCTTCCTGCTAATGGAGGCGTAATGAATTTGAGAGAGTTCCCACAGGAGTTGATCTGGGGAGGCCTTTTTGGTCTAGCAGGATTTGAAGCTGGGAAAAGAATCCATATGAATAATAGCGCTGAGGGTGGCGTCCTTTGAGGCGGAATAATCACACTCTTGGCTCGGGTGCATGCAGCCATGGGCCTGCCTAGAATTTTTCTCTGGATATTCTCCCCCCTACCCCCCACACACAGCAGAAACAAAAAGGAAGTGGCCCCGGGGGGGGGGGTGGAAGGAGGGGAACTGGTTGGAATGTATGAGAGAGAATCTATTTTCAAAAGAAAGGAAGAATATCGCTCATGAAAATCCTAGCTCAGCTTTTACATTTTTTTCTTGTGTGTATCGGTATTTTGTCTGCATACCACATGTATGCCTGCAAGAAGAGGGTGTCAAAGCCCCTGACCTACGGGTGGGTGTGAGCCGTCATGTGGGTGTGAGCCTCTGGGTGTGAGCCACCATGTGGGTGCTTGGAATTGAACCTGAGTTCTTAACCCCTCAGTCACCTCTCCAGCCCAGTTTTTACACTTTATAAATTTAATTTTTTTTTTTTTAAATATTTATTTATTTTATTGATGAGTACACTGTAGCTGTCTTCAGACACACCAGAAGAGGGCATCCAATCTCATTACGGATGGTTGTGAGCCACCATGTGGTTGCTGGGATTTGAACTCAGGACCTCTGGAAGAGCAGTCAGTGCTCTTAACCGCTGAGCCATCTCTCCAGCCCATAAATTTAATTTTTATACGTTATCTTCATTCATGTCTGTGTACTACTTTTGTGCCTGGTGCCTGTGGAAGCCAGAAGGTGGCATTGGATCCTCTAGAACTGGAGTGGCAGACAGTTGTGAGCTACCATGTGGTTGCTGGGAATTGAACTCAGGCCCTCTGCAAGAGCAGTCAGTGCTCTTAACTACTGAGCCAGCCCTCCGGCCCCTTGCTCAGTTTCCATGCCCTATACCTGATCACAGCAGCTAGTAAAGGTCTTCATCTCGTTTGTGAACTGAACCAACACCCCTAAATCACAGCGTGTTCATTTCTCCCCACTTCTCTTCTGCATGCTTCCAGCAGTTCAGATTCAGAGGCGCCTCCTGAAGGCTAGGCTCATCCTCAGATGCTGGCAGGCTCAGAAGTACCTCTTGGTTCATCATTGTTATTTGTTACCTGTTTGCTTCTGAGAGAGGTCTCACTGTGTAACCGCAGGTGTGCCGTCACAGCGAACTTCTTTGTCAATCTGGCGTGCTCCTTCTTGATGGCCATTGCTGCCAGAATTCCATGATTTTCCGTATTTGCCTTCTCACACCCAAAGACCCATTGTTTGACCTCGCACTAGCACTTGATCATGGCAGGGTACGCACTAGTAATACCTTCAAGAGTGCAAGATGTATTTTCATTTTCTCTGCTGTCTGAGTAATTGGCTGTATATGATGCACACTGAATATCAATTTATAATTTTTTAGTTTCAAGGAAACTAAAATTCTAAACTAAAAATTCTCCCTTTTAGTAGGCTATGGTAGCACAGGTCTCTGGTTTCAGCATTTGGAAGGCTGAGGTGGAACAGAAGTTTGAGACTGTTGGGGGAAAGAAAAAGTGTGATCATAATATATTGTATGGGAAATCTTTTTTCAGTAAAGAAAATGTTTAAGGGGAGTGTTGAGACAAACCCTGGTAGAAGCACCTTTTTCAAAAAAAAAAAAAAAAAAGGAAAAAAAAGAAAAGTAAAATTCCTTTTCACATTGACCTTCAGATGGGTATATACTGTTCAGAAATGGTAGAGGTCCAGACAATGTATTTACTCCTGAAACTTATGTTAGACAAGAATTACTTTTCCTAGGTTAACACATTGTAAAATATTAACGAGTCTTTGCATGGATTCTCCCTCTTCTGTTTTAGGGCACTGTCTTTAGTCTTCTTGAGTCTGAGGAGGAGGAATATCCTGGAATCATTGCGGAAGATAGCAATGACATTTATATACTTCCCAGTGACAACTCCGGACAAGTTAGTCCCCCTGAGTCTCCAACAGTGACAACGTCTTGGCAGTCAGAGAGCCTACCCGTCTCACTGTCTGCTAGCCAGAGTTGGCACACAGAGAGCCTCCCGGTGTCCCTCGGGCCTGAGTCCTGGCAGCAGATTGCAATGGATCCTGAAGAAGTGAAGAGCTTAGACAGCAGCGGGGCTGGAGAGAAGAGTGAGAACAACTCGTCTAACTCAGACATCGTGCACGTGGACAAGGAGGAGGTACCAGAGGACGCGTTCCCGGGGGCCGCTGCCCCCTTGCTCCCACAGGTCCCTACTGTGGAAGCCCCAGAGATGATGGGAGTTAAGAAAACCAGCCCCACTCCGTCTGTGTTTGTGGAGCTTGGTGAGGAGGAGCTGGAGGCAGTAGCAGTGAGACCCGCTGCTGTGGAGAGGGTGGAGGGGGCCGCTCAGCTGAGTGAGGAGGGGGCTGGGAGCAGGAAAAAGAGCCACACTGGGGAGGCCATTGCTGCCAGGGGGACAAAGAGTGGCCTGCCCGCCGAGGGCAAGGCTGTCCTGCTCTTTGGAGGGGCTGCTGCGGTGGCCATCCTTGCAGTGGCAGTTGGCGTTGCACTGGCTTTAAGAAAGAAGTAACGGTCTTTTCAGACGAGAGACAAGACAGAAAGACCTGCGGCTTTAGTTGTATTCATTGAACTTAGAAGACTGCCAGCAACTGACTGGACATTACAGGACACTGGGGAATTGGGCTTTCTGTTCACCATGGCAGTGACTTGAGATAGTGTTCATATTGGCCTGGTTGTCATTTTAAGGGCCTTGGCTCATGCTAGATTCAGGAGGACAAGCGTGAAGTTCCCACTTTAACAGGTTAGTCAACTTGGGCACCATCGGCCTTCCAGTAATTCTCTGTAGGAGGCTGCCCTGTGCACTGTAATGATCGGCCACATCCCTGCCTTCTACCCACTAGATGCCACCGGCACCCCACTCGCAATGACGGTAGCCAGAATGTCTCCTACATTGCCAAATGTCCCCTGGGGACAAAGTCATCTCCCTTTTGAGGGCCACTGCTCTAAGAGGTAGAGTTAAATTAGGAGAATCTGTGGGAGGAGCCTGCAGCTGGGATGGCCAGCTGTTCATCCTGTTGCAGCTGGGACTGCCAGATGTTCATCCTGTTGCAGTCTCTCAGGACAGGTGAGCTGCAGACGGTGCTCTGCAGCTGGTTTTTCCCCTGGTCCCCATTCTGTAGCGTGAGGTGCTCCTCAGCATCACACGGACAGTCTCTCAGGTACCGCAGCAGTGCAGTGTCTCACCCTGTACCTCTTCCACACCCAGCAAGCTCCTGAAGCTTCCCATGGCTCCATCTTTCAAAGGTGATGCCTTTAGGGACCTTTTAAACAATAAATACCCAGTCCAGGTGTGGTGGCACCTGCCTGTAATCCCAGTATTTAGAAGCAGAGGCAAAGAGATTATCCCGAGTTCAAATCTAGCCTGGTATACATACGGAGACCATCCGGGACTGTTCGGTGAGACCTTGTCCCAAGAAAAGGGATAAATACACTGAAGCTGCACAGGAGACTTAGGGTTCCCTAGTCTGATGGCCAGCGCAGGGGACAGGCTGCAGTCGTTGGTCTTAGAGGCAGGAAGGTGGTCGACATGACCTGTCAAGGTCTATTTGACCTCTTACAAGTATAGCCAGCCCGCCACCCCACGTGCCTATGATTTAGCAGTGACACCTCTGAGGGCATACATGCCATCTAGAACCTGGATTAGCGTGTCTCCCACTACCTGTTCTTGGGTGTTGGAATATCATCAGCTTCTCTGTGGGTCTCTGAGTGTAGAAAGCAGTATCATCCTTTGGCTCACAGAATCAGATGGGTCATAACCCTTACTCAATGTAAATCATGAAATAAATGATAAGGGATTATCATTTATTATTAGGTATCACTTAAATGAAAAGTGGGACAGAAACTTGAATTTAAGACCAAGACTGCTGCTGAGGTTCTAGTTTGGTCTTGAGCAATCAAGAGACTTCTTGGCCTGAGCTTTAGCCCAGCACCAGGCAACAGACCCAGAGGACACCATGCACTCACTGTAGCTAGTGGGACTCAGCAGAATCTTGTATCGCCTGGCTGACCCCATCCCTCAAGGAGGGGTGGGACCTGTCCCTCTCATGCCTGAGGGCACAGTGCCACCCTGCAAGGCACACGTGCTTGATAAGAAGTCATCTCAGATTTATCTTAGTCAGTCATGTAACATTACTTCTTAGATCCTGAAATTTATAATAAAAATACTTTTAACTACTCTAATCACCAAGAACTGATGTTTTTTGAATGTGCTTGATTTTTTTTAAAGTATTTTTTAAAAGAAGCTCTTCCTAAAGAGTTGATCAAGAGATTTTATTTTAGCGTGATTGTGTGTCTTGTCGATGTGTCCCACTGTGATGTCCTCTTGTGAGTTTGAGTCCTATGCAGGGAGTGCTCGTTGTGGGGCTGTTTTGTAGCTGGAGGTGATGGGAGTCGTCCCCTACGAATTCTCCCAGGTGGTGTGGCTCTGTGTTGTTTCACAGGCCTCAGAGGCTCGCTGGACTTTTTTTTTTTTTTTAAGAATTTTTCTTCTAGTGTTAACACTTTTGAACTTTGGATTCTGAGCATCTACTGGCATTTAAACACCAAGAGCCAAGTTCAGGTGGGAGTGGTAAGACATGGCCTTTGTTTTAGGATGTTTGTATCTGTGTTCTCCAAGGCAGGAGCAGGGAAGAAACTAGCATCTGAGCTGATTGCTTGTTGCTTTATTTTACTTCCCCAGGAACACTTAGCCTAACTTGCTCAAGTATATTTTTCTGGGTGATGGCAAATAGGTAATTTTCCACTGGTTCTCCCTGCATAGAGCCTTAACCCTAGTCTTCCTTTACTTCATTGCCCTCTGCTTGGCAGTGGGATGGAGTAGCCACAGGGTGGTTCTGTCACCACAGCTCCTAGGTTTGCCATCACCTTAAACAAAATAAAAACATCTCCTTGTGTAGCCTAGGCTGGTATTGAACTTACAGCCCAGCCTCAGGACTGAGAATACAAGCATGTCTCACCATGCCTGGTCTTGTTACATTAAAATTAGTTCTCAAATCTTGTTCATCTAAGGGACTTGGTAGTAGGAGGCTGTTCTTGCCCTCTGACTAAAGATTCAGAATACATTCAACTTTATTAGGGAACCCACAGCACCAGTGAGTCACTGTGATAGTCTCTGTTCTTTGTAAACTAGCGGGAAGTTGTACTAGTTCTGTAGAGATAGGTTGTCGAGTGTGTGTGTGCACTTTGTGCTTGGAACTGTGCTGCATACCAGGCAAGGGCTCCATCCCTCCTGCACCTCAACCCTCGGAAGAATTACCTGTTCATTCTGTGAATGATTGACGCTCACTTAGCCAAAAGCCAGTGAGGTTTTCCTAATGAAACGCCTAAAGAATGACAATTTACTTGCTGCACTGAAGTGGCCAACCTGAGTCCGGAGTGCCTTAGCAGGAGGGACTTGTATGAACATCACTGCCTTCTAGAAGATGGTCACTTTCAGTGCTTCTCAACCTGTGGGTCATGACCCCTTTAGGGACTGAATGACCCTTTCACAGGGATCAATTGTCAGATATCCTGCATATCAGATATTTATAACTCATAACAGTACCAAAGTTACAGTTAGGAAGTAGCAACAAAAGTAATTTTATGGTTGGGCGTTACCATGACTGTATTAAAGGGTTGCATCATCAGGAAGATGAGAACCGCTGGTCTAGTTAGCATACTCATTTGAGCTGGTTCATGTGTACCTCACCCAGAGCATCTCTGGTTCCTCTTGCTTATGTTTCGTCCCTTCGGGTATCATTTGACCGAGGAGAGTGAAGGTCCTTGGAGCCTGCTCCTTTGAAGGCTGCCACCGTTTGTGAGCCTCTGTGGTAAGCCCCCAGTTAGAGAACACAGTGTCTGCTCTTGCCTTCTGTTCTAAAGGTGAGGTGTGGGCATTTGACTTTTTAAGAGCTACTTTATGGAAGCTATGCTTCATAGCTAAGAAAAAAGTTCTCTTTTCCTTTCTCTTACTGTAGCTCTTCGTGAATTCTGCACGAACTGTGCGCTCGCTAGTATGATGAGCCTTGGCCTCTGTCTCACACGCACCCATGGTCTCTTATCAACAGCATAGCACTGAGAACCTCCGTTTGTGAAGTGGCGGTGACATGCCACCCTTTTGAGTGAGCTGTGTGGGTTCCTGCTGCTTTTGCTGATACTAATTGAGCACTTTCTGCATGCCAGAGGCTGGAGGACTGTCACATCTTATCTCTCTTCAGGTTGTGTCCAGACTTCCAGGTTACTGGGTAAGAACCATCGAGAACTGGTTTACCAAGTTGCCTAGCTTATCAGAGGCAAGGCAGTGAGTGAAAATTCCCAACTCCATCCAGGTCTAGTGTTTTTCTTAGTGACCCCACATGTTTGGCAGAGTCCCTGTGGACAGTTGTGTTAATTTATTGCACACAGCAGCCTAGGTGTAGCCTGTGCTCCACTGCTTGTTTCTGTGAAAGTACCATACAGGCTAGGCTAGGTACCAAGACTGCTGAATACAGGAGGAGCATGCATGTACTCAAGCTTCATAGTGCACTGTTGTCCCTTTAGCCACTGGGTGACGTGTCTCTGGATCACCCTGTGGTCTGCAGTGTTCTTGGTTAATGTGTTGTCTCTTTGCTATAAATAAGGTCAGGCCATCTGACACAGCTGTCATCACCAAACATGCAGTGACATGATGGCAGCCATGGGACATCTTTGCCAGGGTGTTTTATAGTTTTTGATCCCTCTGGTCCTTTTCCCTTGCAGTGGCTGTCAGTCCAGGGTAGGCAGTGGAAGGATGAGTAGACACCTAGAGATACTATTTGGATTCTTGACACTCAGACTCAGGATTGACCAGGTAGTCTTCCATCTTGCTCATCTGACAAGAGTGCTTCCTAGAGAAACTCTGCCACAGAACAGTGCTGAGTCCATCAGAATCGACTCTGTGGTCTTACCTTTAAACAGCTGCATGGAGAGCTGGAGGATTTCCCAGTCATCTTCACACAGCCCTCCTTGAAAACCCAACTCAGCTTGCCATGTATGTCCCTGTCTACAGTTAGGGCCCTTCCCATGCTCATGTTTACACAGGCCCCAGCCCCTCCGCTGCTTTAGTGTCTCAGGTCAGAACCGTCTCAGGGACACCTGCAAGGCCGAAGCCCAAGTTAGCAGTCGGCTCAGGGGACTCCGTTAGCACGGCTGCTCTGGTGCTGCCCTTTGCATCACGGAATAAGCTGGTTACGGGGTAGCTTTCAGCAAACATTTTGATACAAAAGTTGTTCATTAATTTATGTGTGGCTGCATGCCACAGTGTGCATGTGGGAGTCAGAGGACAATTTGTGAAGTTGGTTTGTTCTCTGCTTCGACATGTGGGTCCTGATGCTTGGTGGAAGACAGCTTGATCCATGGAGTTTTCTTGCCAGTGCCATGTTTTGTCATTATGAGATGACAGGTTGTGGAGGCCTTCCCCAGGAAGGTGAGCTGCACACCTCCCTTAGTGAGGTCTAAAAGTCTGTGTGGCCTAGTGTCCATGGGCCATCTGTTGGCCAGCACTGAAAGAAAACTTTTTCCTGGATCTGTATTTCCCCTGCTCTGACAACCTGTGTCTTTCTTCCTTCAGACTAAAAGTGCCTCTCTCTCCTAACTCCTTGATTAAACTCAGTTTGTTAGTGGTTCTAGTATCTTGTCCCCCAGGTACTAGAATGGTTATTCACATATCAGAGTTAGGTGGATGTAGCTATTAATGTCTGCCCAGGGTGCATGAAATCCTGGCTTCCATCCTGTGCATGGGATACATATCTGTAATCCCAGCACTCAGGTGAAGGCAGGAAGAGGATGTTCAAAGCCATACTTGGCTAAGAGCTAAAGGCTAGCCTTGGATACATGAGAGCCTATCTTTTTTTTTTTTTCGAGACAGGGTTTCTCTGTGTAGCCTTGGCTGTCCTGGAACTCACTCTGTAGACCAGGCTGGCCTTGAACTCAGAGATCCGCTTGCCTCTGCCTCCCAAGTGCTGGGATTAAAGGTGTGCGCCACCACTGCCCGGCTGAGATCCTATCTTTAAAAAAATTAAGTTAGCATAAGCATTTAACTTAGGCAGCATTCATCTGCAGTGTGCTCCATTGGCTCTGACTGCTACTGTCTGATCTGCTCAGTTTATTACTATGAATTGTTCTGGCCCCTTTCCCATCCTGTTGTCTACTTTGTGCCCAATCTATTCTTTATCGGCAAGTGACAAAATCCAAGTCTACAAACTGTGCTTTCAGTTAGAAGCAACATCATGGGGGGAAACACCCTGGAGGTGACAATAAAATGAGATTTTATGATAACTGGTGACTCATCTTTTTGTCCACTGTTTACTTAGAGGGAATTATTTCAGTAATGCTTTATAGTCTACAAGTCCATGCATTCTTGGTTTGTCTTTCCATGTTGAAAGCATGATCCTGGGATACAAAACCATAATTCAGTTCCCAGTCAGCAGAGCTGGGGAAGTCGCTGGAATAAAGCCAGCCCTAGGAATTGTGACCCCAAACAGCTGTGTGTTTATGCTGGAATGATTTGACCTTCTGATGTAGTAGATCATTTGGAGATATAGCTATCCCAAACACCTTTTAGAGAAGAACCTTTTATTTTATGTTGAAGAAACAAATTTCTATCACTTAAAGCAATTCACATATTTTTAGAACAGAATGAAAAATATTCTCCGAATTAAAATAATTTCTGAATTATACTCACACAAAGATCATGTTACCAAAGAAAAATCCACCAACTTACTGGATACACCCAAACTGTCACAGCCTCCGTGGCTGCCATGGACGAGTTCCAAGCTAGAGTACTTGCAGGCTGTGGTGGCTTGTGCCCACAACCCCAGCTTCAGCAGAAGACTTACCAAACACGTTTGAGTACAGTGAGACCTTGTTTCTGAAATGCAAAAGCAAAGGGAACATTTGGTTTGATACACAGAATCTTCTGTGATGTTGCCTGGGGAAAGAGGATGGCAACTTTGCTTTACAACCAAGAAAGTGTGTCAGACTCAACAGGAAGTCACCTTTTGTGAACTTGCGAGTGACCTGCTGCTGTTTGGATCACTGGCTGTTTTAGATCTCTTCTGTTCCTTCTGCTTTGACACTTGTGAGCTGTTCTTTGCATTCCCTAGCAAGAGCTTGATCATAACAACTGACATCACATAGACAAATCAAATGCACGATTCAGTTTGTTTCCACTGGAATAGAAATCTTGAGAAAACAGTTGATTCCTGGAACAGCTAAACTCCTGGGTGGGGGTAGGTAGTCAGGCTTCCCATGGTTTGAGAACAGTCATTCAGCTTTTACAAAGCCAGGTGGGGGCCTTGTGAGTACTGGGGTATCCACTAGGCTGGGTGGATGTCACACTCCTGGGTTGATAAATCTCTCTTGGCGTTGTTCTTCTTAAACAGAAGCCTACCTACAAGATCAAGACTGAGTCCCAGAACTGGCCTCTCACCAAAAGTCACTTCATATTACGAATACGCTTTTCTGCCTTACAGCCCGCTTTTAAGTTTAATTTCCAAGTGGGAACCCGTACAGCTGATAAGACAAAGGTACGTGGTGTGGATGCGGGAGCTGGCGTAAACTCTTCATACACTCAAGCTGAATGCAGAAATGTTAGTGAATCACCGGCTTGAGAGTCCCACCACCTGGAAATAGGGAGGTGGCTGTTCTCCGGGACCCGCCTTCACTCCAATGTCTGTTTACATGGTCATGGTTTTGTCGGAGACAGCTTCACTAGTCTTGCCATATTGGGGTGCGGCTTCTGCAGGCACCCTCAGTCCATCTCCTGAGAAAGGAGCAGCAGAGTAAGTCTCATTGTAGGATACAGTGCTTTTAGAACACAGGCGCAGGGCTCTGGCTGTGGCTCAGTCAACAGTGCCTGCCTAGCATGCAGAGACCTGTCCCCTGCACCACTCACCCACGTGTGGGGGTGTACACCTGTAGTCCTAATACTTAGGATGCTGAGGCAGGAGGATTGCCTTGCATTCTATTGCCATCTGGGAGTGTGGACTCTGCCTTCCCCCAGAATAAACACCCCCCCCCCAAAGGGGAATCCTGGGTAATGTTTCTGACATGTTCTAAAATCTCACACATTCAAAAATACTAGTGCAGATTAGATATCCCCATCCAGTTTCCACTTGGGTTTGGGTAACCAGAGCACAAGACTAAAGAATGCATGGACGTTTTCTAGTAGTCTCAGAAGACTGACCTTGGGCTTAGCTCGGTGTAATCACTTCCTGAGCATACACAGTAAGAACTCAGGGCGAGCCTAGCAATGGCTGTTCTCAGGTCACTGGAGAGCTCGGCAGTGTTTTTCACCTAACTATTTGTTATTCCTATTAGTTTCTCTCCACTATCCTTGGGAAGCACACTTCGAAAGAATTTAAATTATGGGCCAATGGGATGGCTCACTGGGTAAAGGCTTATGTTGCCAAGCCTGCGGACCGGAGTTCAACCCCTGGGACCCACAGTGGAAGGAGAGAACCACACCTCTAAGTTGTCCTCCGACCTCCTATGTGCTATGACACACATGGTCCCTCACAAACATATATAAACACAAGTAAGAGTAGTCGCTTTTTGATTACTTATGATACTGGGGCAGTGTAGATAGCTCAGTAAGATCTATACAGGCCTGAAGAACTGAGTTCAGATTCCCAGCACCCATATGGCAGCTCACAACCACTTGCAACTCCAGTCCCAGAGGATCCAGCACCCTCCTCTGGCCTCTCCAGGCATCTGGCACACACATGGTACACAGGCATACATTCAGGTAGAGCATCAACACACATTAAACAACTGTTACCCCGTGATGGAGGGAAAGGGAGGCAGGTGGAAGCCCAGGGTTTGCTTCGCCAGCTAGTTTAGCCTAAACATTAAGTCCCAGCTTTACTGGGACCCCACCTCACAAAGATAAAGTGAGATAAAAAGACACCTAATAATGACCTCTGGCTTCCATGTGCACATCACACACACTTATGCTTAGGTTTGTGACAGCAAAAAGTAGCCCAAGGGAGCTGAGCCTTTGGTCATCTTCCTAAACACTCCATGTCTCCCCAGCTTGCTCGGTTCCCAGCAGTAGTGTGAAACAGCCTTCACCTCTCTAAGCAGTCTGCGGTTGGTCAAAAAGAGGGGACAGGGGCAGAGGGACTTCAGCAGAGGCTCTGTTGGATTAGAATAGGGCAGGGAAGCAGGCAAGGGCTGGTGCCACTAGTCCTTACATTTCTAACCAAGCTCCTCACATAGGAGAATAGGTTCTGGTTAATAAAGTTCACAGTCGTGCGGAAGACATCACGGAGCAAAGACGGTGCATGACTGGCCACTTTTTTGGCCAACAGCATGGTCATTATCAGCATGGCCTTGTCGTTCTCCATGTCTCTAGGGAAGGCTGTCTTCACCTCATCGAGGGCTTTGGCCAGGCAGGTCCTTCTGTCCTGCACATTAAAGAAGACAGTTTACTGATGCTCTCCCTTCAGAGAGACCAAACCAGGCCAAAGGAGGACGCAGCCTTTCAGAGGGGAGTGGTGGTTAAATAACTAAGAGCGTTGGGTGGCGGGAATGACAGAGGACACTCCGCAGACCATGGTTAGTGAGCAGCCTGAGCACACTGCTGACAGACAGGAGCCTGAGTTGTTCTCTGCACTCAGATTCTTAGGGAACTGCTGGACAGGAGGACATCTCAGGCTCATCTTACTGGTGTGCTTAGCTTTAGGGACTATGTGTTATCTTCCCTTCAGGTGAGAAAGGAACACACTGGGCCCCTGGACCAGTTCTCAGCACCTATAGGCAACAGCTCATAATGGCCTGAAACGCCAGCTCTGGGGAATCTGATGCCTACACATGACCTGCAAGCGTGTGCACATACTCACATGAGGTGCACACAGAGACATGTAACTAAGCATGTGCATGTACTCACACAGGAAGTGCACACAGAGACACATAACTAAGCGTGTGCACGTACTCACACAGGAAATGCACAAAGAGACAAGTAGCTTTAAATCGTTTAAAAGCTGCGAGGGTAGTGCAGGCCTTTAATCCTAGCACTTGGGAGGCAGAGGCAGGCAGATTTCTGAATTTGAGGCCAGCCTGGTCTACAGAGCAAGTTCCAGGACAGCCAGGACCACACAGAGAAACCCTGTCTCTCAAAAAAAAAAACAAAACAAACAAAACAAAAACAATGCAGAGAGGGAGGGGGAGCAAGATTCAAGTTCTATGGCTCACATTAAAAAAAAAAAAAACAAAACTATCCCCATAGGAGGAGCCCAAGGCTGTTCACAGATGGTCCTATGTTCTATGACAGCCGCTAGAGAGTGGCAGGTAGAGAGAGTGCCAGCACAAAGACAGGCTGTATGGAGACACCATGAATCTAGATGGCAAGGGCAGCCATGATTTCTGCTGGTGGAATTCCTAAGAACAGAATCTCCCTCCTCCGTCCCCTCCAGAAGCAGGCACTTCACAGCCCCAGAGTTTGGTGTTCTCTCTCTGCTTTAGGAAGGACCCGGTGCTGAGGAACGAGCCTTGGGTCCTTCAGAGTATACCCAGCCAGAGGTGGAGTCGTGTCAGTTTCCATGTGCTGATCAAAAACACACAACCAAGCGGACGAGGCATGTCACCCTGGGGAAACGTCACCCTGGGGAAACGACATCGAGTTCTCCACAACAGAAGACTGAGTCTTTCTTCCGGATCAGGCACTTTGAGGATCTTTTGGAGGCCTGTCTCCCTAAGCTCTGTACTCTGACTTAAGGGATCCTAACTGTCACCTAATTCAATCTTTGGAGGGACCATGCTGATGGGCAGTCAAGGGCAGGTTCACTCCCTGGGAAAGCTGCTGCTTCAACAAAGGAAAATCTCCCCACACTTCCGAACTGCCCTAGAAGAGGGGCTCCCCGGCCAGAGTCACATACTTACTTCCTCTGACAGGCTGACGTTCATGAACTGTGTGGCCAGATGCCTCACCAGCGTGGGCTGGATGCTCTGGTCCAGCTCATCGCCTACTTGGGCGAGATGTCTGGCAATGTTCTGGATGATTTCTTCCTGACTTTCAGAATCTGAATGTTCAGGCAGGGAATACAAACGAGTCTCAGCAATGGTTCTGGTCAACAGCCCCACACCATTTCCTCCCTCCACACATGCACCAGTGGGGACCGTGCATGGCCCGCAGTCCAGGGAAGGCCCGACGAGCAGAATCTGGCTGGAGAAGCAGGCCTGTCCCAGATTACATGATGGCTGCTGCAGGGGTGGCAGTGGGGGAAGGCCCTGAGCCGCGGCATTCCAAGAGTGCACCCTAAGGTGAGCCAGCAACCAGCCTGGCACTAGGGAAGGGGCCGTGCAGTCAGTGACAACTGAGTCTCTGCTGCATTGTCTGGAGACCACACATCCTTCACCTCCTCACAGGGGAGCAGTGTCCCTGGCTCCTCTTCCAGTCCTCTCACTCTGTAAGTGTCCAAGGCTACACCCTGTCTACACCCTGTCTGTAGACAGACCCTACAGGGACTGCCCTGCCCTGTCTCCTCTCACCTGCACCCTACCCCCGCCCCCGCCTGGATCCTGCTGTGTCATTTCTGTCCCAGTCTGCTCCCCTTTCTCTCTCTTTTTGGCACTTACCTGTTTACCTATTCTCTTGTCTAACAGGGCTGCTTGGACGTAAGCTTCTGAGAAACTGGAACTCTGTTTAGATTAGTGCATTTTATGTGTGTGAGGGTTTTGCCTGCATGTACATCTGTGTACCTGTGTGCCTGTTACCCATGGAGGTCAGAGGAGGCTGCAGGATACCTGGAACTAGAGTTACAAGGGTTGTGAGCCACCATGTACAGGAGGGAACTGAACCTGGGTCCTCTGCAAGAACAACAGGTGCTCTTAATCGTGAGCCATCTCTCCAGCCCCGGAAAAACTAATTGTAAAATCTTTTGGTTTACTGTCAGATACCCCCAACACTTAAGAACCCTGCATAACTGGTGTATAGCTGGTGCCTAGTAAGCAGCTGCATGAATGAATGAATGAATGAATGAATGAATGAATGAATGAATCAACAGACTTGTATGTAGTTCCTACAAAGTAGTCAATAAATATCACTGTAGTTTTTGTCTGTAACTTCCCTATGGCTTCCTATTTCTCCTGAGAGTGACTTGTTCCCTCCCTCAGCTGTCCAGCAGGACCTCACTGTGCAGCCTTGCCAGCTCTCCTACCCTGTACCTCAGAACCAGGAAGGGGCTACAGTGAGCTGGGTCCTGAGGGGACTCACTTTAATGACGTGGCTAGAGGCCCAAGGTATTCAGTGGTGGCAGCAGTGGGGAGGGCTCCTCCTGTCCTGTGTCCTGCCGGTGTCACTGCTGCTCAAATGCTAGAACGACTCAAGCCTCACACTAGTGGGCAATCGCTCTAGCACTCGGTGGTAACTCCAGGCCCTCGCTCAGTTGATGCATGTCACATGGCCACCACACTGCTCTCCTCAAGGCCTTCCCAGTGCTCACCTGCTTCTGCCTAGGTGGCAGGTAACTATGTGGCTTCCGGTTCCCTGTGTACTCAAGTGTTCTAGGCAGACTCAGCTGCTCACTCACTTGCTGAAGCTTTGCCCTGCTTCCAAGTCCAATCAATCTGCAGATTGTCTACAAAGCCTCCCCAGCTCCACAGTCACCTCCGCTGACACCCTGACTTAAGCCAGGCTTTGAAGTCTGGCATGGACTGATCCTGAAAGAAGTAGGTACAGTCACCTACACACAGCCAGACCCTCTTCCCGCTGCCCTACACTTCCTGAGCCTTTCCTGGCCTGGCCTGGCCAAATGACTCACTGGTGGGACGTGAAGACTCTGTGGTAAAACCTGGCTTATGGAGAACACCCGCCACACCCCAGCCTACTCAAGATACCACTTCAGGGCATTTAAAAAATGAACCACACTTGACAGAAGCAGGTAGAGCTCTGGGAGTTCATGATTAGCCTGGCCTATGCAACAAGTTTCAGGCTAGGCAGGCTAACACAGTGAGACCCTGTCTCAAAAGAAATTAATTAGCCAAGAGAAAAATAATTAAAAAAAAAAAAAAAAAAAGCTAACCTAGTTGCTGGTTTCCCTCACAACCACTAGAGGGCAGTGAAGCCCAAGATCGGAGGCAGCAAGGCTTAGAAACAGCTACTTTAAAGAGTCTGGCTTTGAAGGCTGCTTATCTGTTTGTTTGCTTGCTTGCTAGTGACAAACCCAAGGCCTTAGAAAGCAAGGCAGTGTCTGTCTCAGACTTCCATCTCCAGCCCCTGGCCTGCAAGACTGAAAGGCCTCGGTCTAGGCTTTGGAGGTCCTGGAAGTTTACAGGGCAGTGATTCCAGCTAGGATGGAAAATCATCTGAGGGCCATGGAGATGGCTCAGAGGCACATCTGACAACCTGAGTTTGATCCCCAGGACACACATGGTGGAAGGAAATAGCCAACTCTGATTCCATGCTAGGGCATGTACATACCCCCATACTCAGACAGACAGACAGACAGACAGACATGCATGTTTTTTCCAAAAAAAAAAAAAAAAATCATACAGTAGTCTCCAGCTCAAGAACATGCTGGAGGAGCAGAGCCCCAGGACAGCACATTCTGAAGACCTCCTCAATGATGCCAACTTGTGTGTGCTGCCCACAAGCGCTCTGGGCACTTGGTGCAGCCCAGCCTTTAGGAAGGTCCCTTCAGCTGCTGCAAACACAGCATGGGAACAGAGGGAAGTTAGAACAGAGGCCGGGAAGAGGTCAGGGACAGGTGAAGTCTAGGTGCAGCCGAGTGACACGGGCTTAGCAGGAGGCGACTGCTCAGTTGAGTCTTGCTCCTGAAGCATGGGAAGTTTGATCTGAGGCTAGCCATCTCTCTCTGCTATGCCCCAGTTTCCTTCTTTGGAAATGAGGGTCAGAATACTTCAGTACTCGGGTCATCTCTGTAGGTACTAGCAAGTCACATATGTTAAAGTTTCATATAGGAGGCAAAACCGACTCTAACGGCAGGTGTTTTCACGGGATCGAGAGTTCAACCAGCCTACACAAGGTGCTGTGGGGCTGTTGAGAGTCACCTGGTGGTTGTGGCCAGATTAGCAATGTCCCAGACCTCCCAGATCTGAATGGCAGGACAAAGGACTCTGCCTTGCTACTTTCCAAAACTCCACAAGCTAAAGCTCGAGACACCTCTGGTTTATAATATCTCGACCATCATGGTGGTTTGAATATGCTTGGCCCAGATAGCGGCACTGTTAGGAGTGTGTCTTTGTTGGAGGAAGTGTGCCGCTGTGGGTGTGGCCTTTGAGACCCTCCTCCTAGCCGCCTGGAAGACAGTCTCTCCTGGCTGCAGTTGCATCAAGGTGCAGAACTCTCAGCTCCTCCAGCACCATGTCTGCCTGGATGCTGCCATGCTCCCTGCCTTGATGATAATGGACTGAACTTTCTGAACTTGAAAGCCAGCCCCAATTAAATTTGTCCTTTATAAAAGTTGACTTGGTCATGGTGTCTCTTCACAGCAATGAAACCTAAATTAGACAATCAATTTCCAGTCTTCGGCTGTATTATAACTGTTTGGGACATATGTTAAAAAACACACTTTAATATTTGTCTGGAGAGGACACTCAGGTCCAGACCTGAAGAGAACTAAATATTCATCAGAAGGAAGAACTTTCTAATTAGTTGTCCTGATACAGGGGATGATGAGTCGGACATTCCTGGGGGCAATCAAGCACAGATCACAAGACAGGAGTCACATGACATGCACACACACACCAACCTGACAATGTAAGGTTAGAGACTGAGTCCCAAAGGCCCTTGTAGCCTTTCGGGGTCAGTAAAGCCTACATTTGGGATGCAGTAGGACAAGATCAGGACCTACCTGGCTCTAGTCTTCCATGGTAGAAGGAGCGGCTAGCCCGGCTGCCATCTGTCTGCAGCTCGTCTTCGAGGTCTGCATCTGGGTAAACCTGCACAGGCAGTTCTTGACCCAGTACCTCCAGCTCTTTGTGGAAATTACAGTCAGAGCTTTGGAGAAAGCCAAACACCAGCAGGTTTGTGATATGCTCAGCCTCCAGGCCTGAGCCATTGCTGACCTAAGATGAAAAGGGGGTCAGGCGGGCTCATGGGAGCCTGGGTCAGGGCACAGTTGCACCCAAGTCTCACTGGCCTGTGAGAACCAATAACTCCGAGAATCCAAATGCCCTAGTAAGAGCCCGACTGCACGGGCCGTGCTCCTAGCAGCAAGCAGTTCCTCTTTCCCTTCATTCCTTTCACGAGCAGGCGGAGATGCACCATCAGAGGCAGCAGGAAGAGTCCTGCTCCCCCACAGGCCTCTCTGCTAGATCTATGCTGTGTCCAAAGGCAGCCCTGGGGAGGGACACTAAGGAGGAGCACTTAGTAACGCCTGTACCACAAGGCCCTGCAGAACAACAAAACTTAGCAATGAAACCTGTTTCACTTAATGTCTCTCGCCTGTGCACTTAATAGTTGTAATAAATACTAATTTTATATTATTTTTACCATAAAAAAAAACCTCAGAAAGTCAAAAACACCTACAATAAGATACAAGTTCTGATGTGGGGCAGGGATGTCAAATGCCAAGATGTAAGAGAGAATGTCGGCATTTCACTATGGTCTCAACTAGACACCACCTAATTTCTGGGCCTCAGCTTTCCTGCCCCAAGGTAAAAGAAGGGGATGGCAACAAGTTTCCCCTTGTCCCCAGGAAGAGGAGCACCCTCTCTCTAGGGCCCTGCAGGACAGCAGAAGACATCGGTAAGCTAGAAAGCACTACTGCCTGCACCCAGCTCAGCCCGACTGGGCCAACGGGGAACCTTCCAGATCTTTCCTGTCCAGCCTCTGTGCTGTGCTTGCCATGTCTACCAGACTGACAGTCATGCCACTCCATCCTTCTGGAAGGATGTCCCCATTCCATACCGAGTCCCTATCAGATGCCAATGGAGATGAATTCTGTTGGATATCTGAGGTGCATCTTGACAGACTTGTCAAATGAGGGGTCAGGTAGCATCATTAACAGGGACACCCAGGAAGAACAAAATGAAAAGATGCCAGAATCTAACCTCAGAGTCCATGACACAAGCTGTGTAGCTCCAATCACCGCCGGCTCGCGGAGTCCAGGGACCCACCTAGAAGAGGACATACACATGGTGTGGGTGGCTGTTCCCTGAAGCAATGCCTCCATGGGGCCCCACCAGGACACAAGACACTGTCACACCTGCAGCTGAGGCACACCCAACCACCACCACTGGCTTCGGCTCATTTGTTTGCTCTCCGCACAGAACCAGAGCAGCGACCCAGTGAGTCATGTCTGCAGTCTTCTTCCTTGACCCCTCAGTGGGCGCTGAACTGGGCATCCCCAGACCAGTCCTCCAGAGCTCAGCTTCGCTCCCACATCCAGTCAATCTCATCAGGCCAAGCAGCACTTCTCCCAAGAATTGCTGCTGCTAATCCTCATACTGGTTAGTGGGTTTCCCAGCTAGTCACACACACCTGCAAGGCTGCCGGGCATCTACATTACAGGACCACAGCCCTCCCAAACCGCCAACCGCTTCCTCTTTCTACCCACACGATGAAGCAGAGCAGACAGTATATATTCCAACTTAATGGGAAGAAGATATAATAATCTAAAGGGTCATTTTGAGCCTGCAAGACAGCGTGGCTGGTAAACTCTGCTGCCACTCAAGCCTTCTGATCTACCACAACTGACTGAACCACAGTCATTTAGAACTTCACTGAAGATGTCAGAACAAGCAGCTTTGTCCAGTGCAGTGGCTTTTATAACTAGGTGCTCTGATGCACTTTGGAGTTTGTTTGCACTTTAATCCCTTCATTAACAGGTTAAGATGTGAATCTTTGTGAAGACCCTGACCCTGGAGGTAGAGCCCACTGATACCACGGAGAATGTGAAGGCCAAGAACCAGGATTAGGAGGGCACCTCCCATCCCACCCAGGAGACACTTATCTCATAGGCAAGCAGCTGAAAGACGCCCATACTCCTTTTGATTCAGAAAGACTCAAGCCTGCATCTGGTCTCCATTCTTCAGCCTAAATTTCCGGTAGGTACTAAAGCCATTTGTGCATTTAAATTTAGAAATTTTAAGTTTCAGTACAGCTAGGCTTGGTGGTGTACACCTTTAACCCCAGCACCTGGAGGCAGAAGCTGGTGGGTCGTTGAGTTTTCGGCTAGCCTGGTCTACAAACCAAGTTCCAGGACAGCCAGGGTTATGCAGAGAAACCCTATCTGGAAACCTACCCAATAACCCTCACAACATTTCAGTAATAGCTGGACCTCTGCTTAAAATGTTAATAAAGGTTTATTGCATGGTTAAAAAAAAAAGTACATCCACTCACCATATATATTGTTACTGAGAATGCAAAGCAGTATGACTACCATGGAAAATAGTGTGGAGATCCCTCAAAAAGCTAAAACCAGAAGCAGGCAAGAGAGCTGGTGAATGTGCTTGCTGGCAAACCAGCTGGCCTGAGGTTCCATCCCTGGAACAATGTGAAAGGTCAAAGGGGAGCCGCCTCCAAGTCCCTCTGACTTCCATTCGCATGGGCCTGCCTTCGTCATATACACACAATAATGAATAAACATTCTAATTTAAAAAAAAAAACCTTGCTTGGCATTTCTCATTACATCAAGAATTATTAGACACAGGTGTGAAAGCACACTCTGCCAGCACCTCACGGGGTGGGGGGGATGTCACAGCTGTCAATCAGTCACAGCTGTCAATCTCTGCCATAGCAGAGTGTTAGGAGGAGTCTTGAGAAGAGAGAGCTGTTTCTGGCCAGATGGTCCTGAGTAAGATGAATAGACAACAGCTCATGTGAATCAGACACTCAGACTCTTCAGGGACCTGGAAGCCAAATACCCTGAAGTAGCCGAGAAGTCTGAACTTCACAAAGCCCCCCTCCCACAGGCCCAAAGTGTAGACTCGGGACACACCAGAAGGGAGGAAGGTGAGTTGGGTATCCTTGTGTCCCTGCCCTGCTGAAGTTTATCTATACAAGTAATCAAGAAAAATGTGATAAGTATTACGGAGACAGTCATACATACCCTCCCTAAGCACCCAGTCATCCACTCATCAAGTGTCCAAGGTGCCAGGGGCTACACAGCAGTACAGAGAATGCCACCCAGACAAGAGTTAGAGAAGAAAAAGTCTCCCAGACTTAGGGTTGATGGATGCCAAGAAGTAACCAGAGTTGTTTTCCATCCTTTTCAACGGACATCTGTTAAATATTTAACTCATTACAAGGTACCATGCTGGAACTGCTCAAGTGCTTGAGATGTAGCCCTGTGGGTAGAGTGCCTGCCTCACATGCACAAAGCCCTGGGCCACCCAGTAGGATGGCATACACCTGTAACTGCAGCACTCAGGAAAGAATCACAAGTTCAAGGCCACCCTCTTCTATACTGTGAGCTGGAAGCCAGGCTGGGCTATATGATATCTTGTCTCCATAAAAATAATAAACAAATAAGTAAATAAATAAAACTCAAGTGTCAAAGAACCACATGCACAGATGATGAGAAAGAGAAGAACTTAGAGACACACGCAAGACTGCCAGAAGCTGTAAGGTGACAACGGCATTCCACTGGACAAAGGCCTGTGGACAAATGCCTGCATTAATATCTGTATTCTGCAGCATATCAATAACCTAAAGGGTAAAATGGTAATAATACCCCACTGTGGGTGTGGAGTTTAGGGTTTCAGCCATGCCTTGTATGCCTGTGTCCCTGGGCTAGACCCTCAACAACTGAAAAAGAGTATTTTGTAAGGGACTGGCTGGAGACTGGTGAGATGGTTTGGCGGTTAGGAATGTTTCTTGATCTTCCAGTGGACCCAAGTTCTTCTTCCAGACCTATGTCAGGAGGTTGACAACCATGTCCTATTCTGGCCTCTGTAACACACACACACACACACACACACACACACACACACACACACACACACACTAAAGGGGGTTAGCGAGATGGCTCAGTGGTTAAGTCTCTAGCTATCCTACCAGAGGATGTGGGTTCAGTTTCCAGTATCCATCTTTCCACCCTTCCCTTAATTTTCCCTTTTTATAATACAAATGACCACATCTGAGATTTTTCCAGGGTTGCCCAACCACAGCTTTAGGTATAAGGCTCCTGAACGGGCTGGGAACATAGCTTGATGGTAGGGGCCTACCTACATGAGTAAGGCCTGACTGTTCCGTGCCCAGCATGCAAACTATAAATAAGCAAATACAGTTATTTTTTTTTCTAAACCTAGGGTCCAGTTTTGGAAACAGTAAACATCAAGTGTTGTCAGAAGCATTAGGTGGCAGGACACCCAATTAACACAGGATCAGATGTGCATGAGAATAGACATGGTTATCCATTAATGACACAAACCCTGACTGTTTCATAAGCAGTGAGCTTTTTCCACCCCCCCCCCATGTCTAAGAAGTCAAGAGCACGTTAAAGTCAACATGCAGTAGCCAAGGCCACTCTGCTACCCAGAGCCCCTGGGAATGGGTAGCTTCTTCTATTAGAGTTGCTTTTTTCAGAGTAATCGGGTGATAGTGCACACATCTCAGCACAAGCAAGACCTTCAGTTCAAAACTCTGCACACACACCCCAAATGTAAAATACCTAGTGCACTGACACAATTCCAATTTTGTCATTCACACTCCAAGTGTAGAAGCACAATTTTAAAAAATCCCGAGAATGTTTAATTTGTATAAATGTCTCATCCAGAGAGTGCTGCTTCAGTGTGAGATTCCAGAGCCTACACCTCAGTGACTAAAGCACCTTTTCACACTTACACAAGAGGCAAAGGCTCTTCTCAACCACAATCACAGAGACTCCAGACCAGCTTCAGCTTAGATCAAGAACAAACATGGTGACACAGACTATAACCCCAGCTACTCAAAAGGCTGAGGCAGGAGGATCACAAATTCAAGGCTGGCCTAACTTTCTAAGATCTTGTCTCAAAGTAAATACAAAACAAGGCTGTCTAGAATCCCCAAGGTGATATGTTCATGGCGTGGGGGTAGGGGGAGAGAGGGGAACGGTGTGTTTTAGTTTACTTTCTATTGTAATAAAACACATGACCAAAACAATTTGGGGAGAAAAGTACATATTTCTTCGTAACAACTCTCAGGTCACCTCCCTCACACACACACTGAGGGAAGTCAAGGTAGGAACCTGGAGGCAGGAGCTGATGCTGAAGCCATGGAGGAGTGCTGCTTACTGGCTTGTTCCACGGCTTGCTCAGCCTGCTTTCTTATAGAACTCAGGGCCAACTGTCTTCAGGCTTACCGACAGAGGCATTTTCTCACCTGAGGTTCTCCCTCTACACACACAGAGACACACACACAGAGGCAGGCAGGACAGAGAGAGAGACCCAAACTCATAGGTCCAGATGACAGATGAGACTAAGGACTCAGAGAAAGCAGCCAAGCAAACAGATGTGTTCTCACGATCCCGATCTCTCTGCTCCCCCCTCCAACAGAGAGCAGCTGTGTCACCTATTCATAAAGAGGAACAAACGTTAAGACCACAAAACTAAATCCTTGATGTGCCAACAAAGAGGCTTCTTTGTCTATCATGTGCCAATCATAGGGAGACGAATTCTATGGAGGGCGGGGTGCCAGGTACACTGCCGGCAAGTTCTACTCTTGGGATTATCTCCTAGGTCCTGGGAAGACAGGCAGGTGCTATAAGCCTGGCTGCACAGTGGAATCTTCTAGAAGCCCTTGAACACACTGATCTGACATGACCTTACATACAGCACCCATGGAATCCACTAAAAAAGCTACCAGAACTAATTCACGAGGCAAACAAGGTAGCAGAGAGTAAGCCCCCTCTGGGCTGTTTTCTATACACTACTACTAACCCAAAATAGAATGAAATGATTACTGTGGTACCAAGAAATAGAAAATTGTGCGGGCCTGTAGCTCCTCAGCAGAGCACACGTGTACCAGGAGCTTGAGATCAATCCTGTGCCGGGAACAAAATTAAGGCACAAAACATTTAAAAATTCTTAGGAATAAATGTAATAAAAGCGTTAGGCTTGGACACTAAATGAAAACTGCAAATGTTGTTGAGATTAAAAACGGAAGGCAAACACCTGTCAGGAACTGGAAGAGACTG